CTTTTTCTCTCTCTTTTTCTGATTGGAAATTGTGTCTCAACTCATCAGAACATCTTGCTGTTACAATATCAATTGCTGTCACATTTTTCACTTTTTGGAACATTTTGCTTGCAAAACACTCATTTATTCACAAGAAATGCTTCTCATCAAGGAGGAGAAAAACATCTGAGTATTTTTTATTATGTCTAGTTTGGACATACATGCAAGACCAAGCTCACCTGATCCCAGTAGCTCATAGGCATGGGATCTTTAGCATGCAAAAAATCTCCTTCTGTTTTAGGAGAACAAGGAGATATCTACAGTCACTCTACTTAGGAAAATAAATGCTGTTGGCCAGGTTAAAATTTTGGGTTAGCTGCAGCAGGGGATAAACTAATTGCCTTCTGATGTTTAGGACTTATAATTATATTACAGTTTTAAAATGAAGCAGTAACAGAGAAACATGTGTTCAAAGTCAGTACAAATATAAGACCCCCAAACAAGGTTACAATCAGCTTATCAAAAAATAAAATCACACTGTAATTTGAAGGCACACCGTATTCCCTGGCATATATAGAATATTTGACTAATTTAAATGCTCTTTAAAAGTGAAAGCATGACCTAATATTGTCAGCCACTTTGTGATTAAATCAGTGTTTATTCCTCTTGGGAGGCTCTGTTCTGTACATGATCTGTTTGGGGTAACTGTAAATCTGCACAGTTGGAAACCACAGGAAGAAAAATGATATGGGTGGGACGATGCACCTGGCATAGAATCGAAATATATAATCCAGAGAACCAGCTTTTAGCAGCATTAGATATAAACAAATCAACTTCCTGAAATATTATGCTCTGCTAAAATAAATGTAGAAAAACTGGGGCCAATTTATTTTGAAAGATGTATCTGGGAATGGGTAAAAATGAATCCTGGTGCTGTGGATCAGGCTTAATTCATTCAAGAACGACACCATCACATTCACATGTGGATTTAGCTAAAGCAGTGTTTGTACCCTACGGCTCCCTTGTGGATGAAGGGTAGATTGTACATTTCATAAATAAATAAATTGGCTGACATTTTTGCATTGGTTACATTTGGCAGGTCTAAAATAAAATAAAAATAAAGGCATCACTCAGATTGGCATTGGCTAGTTACACACTGCTTCCCAATTGTGTCCTCCTCCATAGAGTATTGGCAGTTGGCTAAAGGGTGAGGGAACATAAAGTGCTGCAAAGCTGTGAAGCTGGCAATAAAGTTGCTGGCAGGTGCACTGGGCAAGGGACATGATATGAAGAAGAATTGGTTCTATCAGCAGCAGTCTAGGCCTACAGCTACAGGGCATGGGATTCAAGCTGAGAACAGAAGGAGCAGCAAATTAATTCCTGGAATATCCCATCACTTCTTGCCACTATCTCTGAATACACAGCATGGGCCCAATTGGAAGATGGGGTAGACTTGGTATATAATTTTAATGGCTAAGAGTATAAAATGTAAGTTGGATATCCTAGGTCAAATCTCACCACATCCATGGGTTTATTAGGTGTCTTGAGGCAAGCTTCTCACTTGTCTCAACTTCTTATCTAACATGTTGTGAAATAATGACCATCATTTAAACAAAACAAAAAAAAAGACATATCTACTGTAAAGGCCTCTTTTTAAAGCATTATTTATCTGCTGCAAGATATTTTCCCTTGAAGAACTATAGGTTTGTTTGTTTTTCATAATAAATCTCCCTGCAACTTTTAGAATTTATTCTTTGCTTCTCTTACTTGGGGCTGTTCTTGTTCAGATTTTTATTTGCATAAGATTGCCAACTTGTTATTTGGAAAACAATATCATATCTCAGGGCATAAACAGGGATAGCACAATATGTGGATGCATTAATGAGGTTGTTTGCACATGGATGGAGAAGGGTGAGTTTTTCATTGTAGATAGAATCAAAACTTGTTGTTAATCCTGACAAAATCAAAACCATTTAATCAATGAGATTTACCTAGATGTTGACTCATCATTCAATATTTGATTGAATAGGTCTACTCTAGTTATTCTAACCAACAGTATACTGGCCCTAATGTATTTTGTGCTTTTTGGATCAGTCATTGGATCAACCAAAATGTTTTAAATATTTCCGGTTCAAAAAATCAAACAAACCCTGATACTGAATTAAAGGAAGAAATAGAAATGCAGTTAGTAATCTTATATATGTACAAAAAGATACTACAACTTTATTGGGCTTCTGTAAAGATTACCAAAGTCACATATTAAAGTACTTTAAATACTTGAATGTTCTATAGAATAATGATAAAGATTAAATTTGTTCCTGTAAGCTGATTTAGGATTTAAATTTCTGATAGCATTATGTTGAAGATATGGTGCTAGAGACCACATATTAGAAGACATTAGTAGATTTGATGGACAAAATCAGGATTAGCTAGGAAAGAATTTAAAAAAAAATTAAGCATACTAGATCTAACAATCCTGGCATAGTCTGAAGGAGACTGAACCAAGGTAATTGGGTCCAATTATTTATCTATTAGTCCAGGGTAGCATGGTCATAAGTGTAAACCAAGTCCTTGTAGAGCAGATAAATAAGTTTGATAGTATTGTCTTAAGGTGATACAGAGTCAGGGAACAACTGTGTTTTGGATATATGAAGCCCACAGAGGCAAACTCTGCATCTAGAATGAGCAGCCTATTCTGTTTAAGGTTAGCCATTAAGTAGAATGTCGTTTCTACTTCATCTCTGTTTTTGACAGGATACCAAGTCCCAAGTGAACAGAAAAAATCTACAAAATAAAAATGGAGATTTCCACAAGGTATGTATATTTACTTGATGCCAAGCCACCATAGATTTGGGACAATGACTTTACTTCCATTACATTTTATCACAAGATAAGTAATCCCATTTCCAAAATTGTATTTCCAAAATCCCATTTCCATCTTGTTGATTGGCTTATTTCCACTGCAATGGCATAAGAAGTAGTGTGTTGCTGAACTTGACGTACAATTATATGTTTGAAAAGAGTGCCATCATCCACAAAGTTGACTACCAGAGAAAGAAGTTCTTAGTACAGGCCTCCCATCTGTGGATGCCCTTCCAAAAGAAATCCATCTGTCACCTTCATTTAAATGCTTGGCTGAGACTGAGCATCAGCCAGCCCTTGAGATGTCTGCTGCTTTATTATTTTCATTGAAAAAATATATAATTTATTGTAAAATATGTTGCAATTTTTTGTAAACCATATTGCAATTAAATGTAAGTTAGTTTGTGATTTTCTCAATTATTATTTGTTTTATTTATTTTGGAATTGTCCTGAGGGTACTAACAAGTGGGTGGCATATAAACATTTTAAATAAACAACAGAGAAAAGAATAGATTTGCAATAATTGAGTTTCTCAAGGGTCACTGATTTCCATCTCAAAACTCACCCCAACTCAGCTCATTATGCCCTCTTTCCAGAATAGAAACACATATGCTTTTTAGCACACATCATTTAAATCTATATATTTAGGCCTAAACCTTGCAATAAATCTTGATTAGAGATTTATCCATGTGTTGACTCAATTTACAACAATTGATCAAATAGGCCTAATCTAATTGGGAGAACCTACAGGATGCTCGTCTTTGTGTACATTTTTGTACATATGCACTTGTTACCTAAAATTTGCTTGTGTATATTTTAGAAACATACACAATTTTCTTTGCCCATTTTTCACATGTAACATTTTATTGAACATATTTCTTTTTTTTTTCTTTCATGGGACACATCACAAGTTTATCAACACAATTGCAAATTGTGTTGATTTCCACATTTGGATCCAGAAAATAATGCGTTGTGAAAACCAAATCATCAATGGAATATTTTTTCTTCCATGCCTAACTAGGACAGGGCACACAGTTCCTGTAACTTTCTTAAACACTGCAATCAACAGTGTCAGCATCTTAACCACTTGACTCTAAAGCAAACCTATCATGGGGTTTTCTTGGCAAGTTTTGTTTAGAGAGAGTTTGCCCTTGCCATCTTCTGAGGCTGAGAGTGTGTGTCAGCCAGTGGGTTTCCATGGCTGAGCCAAAATTCTAACCTGGTCTCCAGAGTCTTAGTCCAACACTCACAATACTATGTCTTGTATCACTTGATACTGTATCTGAATAAGTAGGTTTATATTCATGAAAGCTTATGCTATTTTTTTAAAAAAAACAGTTTGTCTTAAAGGTGCTGCTATAATTCTTTTTTTCTCTCCTGCTCCTTTTAACCTTTTTATACTTCAAGGGGCTAACATGGAATTTTTTTGAAGATTGTCTAGTGACCATTAATAACCAAGAAAAAAAGAAATAGAAAGCCAAGAATGCTTCCACTAGAATTCTTTGACAAAATCAGCATGATATTTTGATTAGCAATCTGATTTAGTGTGGAAAAGGTGGGAACATTGTCAGATGAGTCCATAATTGGTTGGAAAACCATATCCATCATCAATGGTTTTTCTTCAAACTGGAGGGAAGTTTCAAGCAGAGTGCCACAAGATTCCGTCCTGGAGCTGTCACTCTTTAATACATTAATCAATGGCTTAGATGATGAATTAGAGGAAATCCTTATTAAGTTTGCAGATGTTACAAAACTGGGATAGCACATTGCAAGATAGGAACAAAATTAAAAAAGACCTTGAAAAACTGGACAATTGTACTGAAGCTGACAGAATGAAATTCAAGACATAAATGCAACATTGTATATTTAGGCAAAAAAAAAACAAATGCACACCGCAAGGTTGAGGGACACTTGGCTTAGCAGAAGTACATGTTAAAAGGACTTTGGGGTTATTGATCATATAGAAGCAATAAAGGTAAATAATGTTGTTGTTGTTGTTGTTGTTACTGTGTGCCTTCAAATAGTTTCAAAATTATGGTGAACTGAAGGCAAATCTATTATGGGGTTTTCTTGGCAAAATTTTTTATAAGGAGGCTTGCCATTTTCTTCCTCTAAGGCTGAGTGTGTGCAACTTGCCCAAGGTCACCAGTGGGTTTTCATGGCTGAGCTGGGAATCAAACCCTGACCTCCTGAGTTGCAGTCCAACTCTCAAACCACTACTCCACACTGTCACTAGCCTGCATTAACTAAATTATAGTTTCCAAGACAAGAAAAGTAATAGTCTCCCCTATATTTTGCTCTAATCAAGCCTCATTTGGACTACCACATTCAGTTCTGGGCACCTTATTTTAGGAAGGATATAGACTAGTTGGAACATGTTCAGAGAAGGCCAACAGGAATAATGTGGAGAAGAAAACATATGGGAATAGGTTGAGGGAATTAGGCATGTTCAACCTGGTGAAGAGAAGACTGAGGGACATCATGATGACTTTAAATAAAGTGCTGTCACAGAGGGGAGAGTACAGGCTTGTTGTATTGGCACAAAGGACACGAGACGCCTCTTTTTGGGTTTAAACAGGCCACAACTTTTATTTAGCGGTACAGGGTCTATACATATTTTTTTCTCTGAAGATGCCAGCCACAGATGTTGGCGAAACGTCAGAAAGAAACTTTTCTAGAACATGGCCACACAGCCCAAAAAACCCACAAAAAACTATGGATGCCGGCCATAAAAACCTACGGCTTCACATTGTACAGGATCTATTTACAAGGCAATAAACTTCAACAAATTTGTCACATGTGTAAGTGAAGGTATAACCACCTTTTAGATGGGTGGTCCTTCACCGTACATGACAAAGTATGTAAACAAATAACAACAAATTTACAAATCCCTCCCCTCCGGAAATGACATCATATTACGTCATATGACATCATTTAATTAATGACATCATGCATTTAACTACATTCATCATTTCCTTTAATTTGTCTTTATCCAATTTACCCCAATTAATTTAATTAGCCAGATTAATTTTCCTGTGGGGTGGAGATCATTACCTGCCACAAGAGGGGGCCAGCCTAGCTAGGCATCCCCTCTCCACCCCCCCACCCCCCGCAGACTGCCTTTTGAATTTGATCAGAGAGTTCCGAAACATACATCTCCTAACCTTCTGGAGAGATGTGCACCCCATCTCCCGTGTACAGCTGTGGCCGATCAAGTTTTAGTCTGTGTTCAATCATAAAAATGCCCAGTTTAGAAAGCTGCTTGGCAACATAGTGATAGCAATTAAGCCAGCGACGAGCATTGTTAATCGCAGCAACTTTTTGAGCTCCAGGCCAGCTATGCCATGGTAAGAGCTTAGTCCAAAGTATTATGGCACCTGGGATAATCTTTTGCACTTCTTGCAGATCCCTCACCATAGGCTTTGCTAGCTTTAAACAAGGGATTTTAACTAAACCATTTTCCCCCAAGTGTATCACCAAAAGCCGGGGTTGCAGACATGATCATGCCAATTGCAAGATCCACGGAAGGAGTGCTCCCCACATCAAGCCCCTTTGTCCAAACCACTTCGTGGTTCCAATGTGTGACAGGCCCAAAGCAGAGTCACGCCGATGTTCCAGAAGGTGGTGTTCCACCCAGAAGACCAAACTGTGGCCCATAATCCATATCAAGCCATGATAAAGCCAGCTGAAAGAAAATAGAACAAATTAGCGAGGCTGACCAGGAGTCACGTTCCCTGATGACCTGACATATGACTTAAATGCTCAGGAACACCACCGGCCAATTCTGCAAATATCAGCTTCACTCAAGCCATGAGTGGCCGCAGCTGTTGCTGCTCCAATACGAAAGGAATGTGAAGAAAAGCAAGCCTGAGGCAGCTTAACCCACCTTAGCATCTCCTTCAACACTGCTCTAAATTGAAATTGAGTTAAGGGCATGCCAG